ATGCTAAAGCTAACAGGCTAAGCTGAGGTTCTTCTTCCATGAAGCAGCTCGCTAGCAGCCTCGCACCGAGGACCTATCCACGTCATCATTTACCCAGAATGCTTTGTGTGTAAATAAAATGACCCAGTCCATGTAATATATTTTTAAACTTTTAGTTTAAAAATTATAAAAACTAAACATCCTACAATATTTTTACAGTCTTTATTTTACAGTTAAAATATGTTTATTAAATAAAGTCTAATGTTACAAATAACCGTGGATCCCTTTAAAAGTCTTTGGACATTTTTATTTTTTGTCAGGGTGTCAAACTAGAGTTAAGAACCGGGGAAGTTGTCTGACACTCTGGTTTTCAAAATAAAATCCCCCTGTAGCGTCTGGAAACATTTATAGGTAAAAGCTGCACCACCAGTGGAACAAAGACTGTTAAAGGAGTTCAGTAAATTCAACAGTTTATTTCTTAGAGAGTGAGTAAAAGTACTTTTATTTTACTTTCCAGTTTTTTGTGAACAGTTTTATGAATTGTACTTGAGTACTTTTCTCATCAGTGAAATTTATTTTTACCAGTCATTTAGTRTTATGGTATTTTTACTTTCACGTATTTATTTTTTCAAGTACTTTATAGATCAAAGTACTTTATAGATCTCTGATTAAAATCAAAGGCAGAGAGATTCTCCAAAAGGTTGCTTTTGATGCAACATTTCCAACACAGTAAAAAAAAAATTAAAAAATGAGAAACACATTGAAAGAGAAGCAGCATTTTTTTTGTTTGTTTTCTTGTAAACTTTGCCTGATTAGAATTCAAAGCGTTGCCTGGAAGGAACAACAGAGAGCTGRTTTTCATCCAGCTCTGGTTTAAACTCAACTAAATCCTTCTTTATTCCTCTTTTGTTACACCTGTTAGGTAATTAAGCAAAAGCACAACTCAAATGGCAACACCAAACTGTGTTTACGGCAGTTTGGACCCCCGGTCTGGGTCAGAAAGACRACCTCGCATAAACTAAATGAGGGGTCCTCGTCTTTGCATTTCTGTTGTCCGTCGTAACGAGCAGTTTGTCTCCAACAAACAGCATCTGAAGGCCCCCCCCCCCCACGCCAATTACCAGCTTCCTGAATGCTTAACGACTGTCTGAGCAGGAAGATGAGAGCGAGCTGTGTTTAAAACCTCACTTTGACTTCAGCTGCAGAGGAAACAGAAAATAAAACAAAAAGTTTGAGGAGAATATACGAGGCTTTAGATCTGCAAACTCTTTTTCATGTTTCCAGGTGTTTCATCGTTACGCCTGCAGAGCCCGAGGCTTAAACACATCGACACAGAGAATAAAAGCAACAAAACGTGAAAGAAAACACGACAAACATTAGTTACATTTAGCAGACGTACAAATATAAACAGGTTTAACATCAGCTACAAACTATAAACACAGGAAAAACCAAAAAAAAGTTCTCAAACATCTGAAAAGAAAACAGAATTTCCCCCGGGAATCCCCAAACCACACAGACTCAAATTCAGCTCCTGTGGTAATCAGACAGCTAATTGCAGGCTCAGTTAGCTAAAACTGCAATTAATCAAAGCAAAGGAGGGAGGAAAGGAAGCGAGGGAGCAGGACTGGAGGATCCAGGAGAGATGTAATCAGTCAGCCTGCAGGGGAACAACCGGCAGAGGAAGGTGGAAAGAAGAGATGCAGGGATCTGATTAAACAGGAACTCCTTCAATTACGGCCTTCAAGGTTCACGTAGAAAATTTCTCCTCTCCGTCATTTTGTTTAGAAGGACCGGAGCAGTTCCAGATGTGGSAACAAACTCCCAGCTGACCTTTAATCAGAGCGCCGCTAAAGAGCAGCTAGAGGAGGCYGGATTAGACGTCCGTTAATAAAATACATCGATCAGGCAGCGAGTCGTGTCAGGATCCTGTTTATAACCGTGTCAGCGCTGATTCGGCTGTTTCTCTCTAAACGTTCAGCTTGTTCAGGAGACAGCTAGCGTGATTTTTGGTTTGTTTTCAGCTACTTTTGACTAATTCCTCTAAGAAACGTGTCAAGATTTCTTTCAAAAAGACTTTGTTCAAACAAGTGGCTGCACTTTGTCTTCTTATGCTACTTTTAGCCACCCTTCAGCAGTTAGCTAAACTTTCTGTACATCAGCTTTTTTGCTAGACTTTAGCTGCTTCAAGATAATCTTTTGCTACTTCAGCTTTTAGCTACAGCCTTTTGCTGCTTTTAGCTACAGCCTTTTGCTGCTTTTAGCTACAGCCTTTAGCTGCTTAAAGATAACCTTTTGCTACTGCAGCTTTTAGCTACAGCCTTTTGCTGCTTTTAGCTACAGCCTTTTGCTGCTTTTAGCTACAGCCTTTTGCTGCTTTTAGCTACAGCCTTTTGCTGCTTTTAGCTACAGGATTTAGCTGCTTTTAGCTACAGCATTTAGCTGCTTTTAGCTACAGCATTTAGCTGCTTTTAGCTACAGCATTTAGCTGCTTTTAGCTACAGGATTTAGCTGCTTTTAGCTACAGCATTTAGCTGCTTTTAGCTACAGCATTTAGCTGCTTTTAGCTAACTTTTATGTAACCTTTTCCTCATTTAGCCTAGTGTTGCTACTTCAGCTTTTAGCCAGCCTTTTGCTGCTGTACGCTTTAYCCTTTTGCTGCTTTTAGCTAAAGCCTTTTGCTACTTCAGCACTTCCTTGACCTTTCAGTACTTCAGCATTTAGCAAGGCTTTTGCCGCTTTTAGTTAACCTTTAGCTACTTTAGCTATTAGCCACKCTTTTCTGCTTTTTGCCAAGCTTTGCTAACTCAGTTTTTAGCCAGCATTTTGTTGCTATTAGTTATCCTTTAGCTGCTTCTTTTGCTACTTTTAGTTATAGCCTTTTGCTGGGCTCTTAGCTATGCTTTGGYTACTTCAGCATTTGATAGCAT